GAATACCTGAGGATATCAAAACCAAATGGCAATAATCGAATACAGAATACAAATATGATAAATATGAATAAATAAAATGGCTGAAAGAAAACTAAAACGATAATCCAAAAATGAAATCCTCAGAATAAATTTTATAAAAAAGAACTATTCTGGTACATCCAAACCTCTAATACAAATACAACTCGGGAATCCATATAATGAACCCCTATTCAAAACCCAACTGAAGATAAACTGAACTAAAAAGGAAAACTAAACTAAATATAAATAGCAGTCCTACGCAGTCGGAAGAATAAATGACCGTCTCTGCTCAGCACGAACAAGCTCTAAAACTGGAACCGTCCAATACCTGAAAAATAATAGTGGGTCAGGCCTACGAACAAGTTCTATTCTAACTACAATCCAAACAGGGACCCGATACGTAGATACATCCTAGATAACTCAACAATAACAATATAGTCAATACTATAAATATTTATCCACACTAAAGGACTCTCACTAGACTACAAAGGGGGTTTTAACCTGAATAGAAGACAACATGCAAAATGCACCAAAGGTAGGCATGAGTACCTAGACTTACTAGGGTACACCTCAACCATCATAGCCAGTTATACATCCCAATGCATATACACTCCCTAACCATCGATTATGAGACTCAAACTTAAATCGTGGTACCATAGTCATATATTTAAAGTCCATCCAAAACCAGAGTATGTCATTCAATTGTTCATTAATCTGACATAAGTAACAACTAATCCATTTAGTCACTCAATTTATTCAGTTGATCTGACTTAAACACAAATAACAAATAATCCAGTTAGTCACTCAACTTACTCAGTTGATCTAACTTAAATACAAATACCAAGTAATCCAGTTAGTCATTTAACTTTATTCAGCTGGTCTAACTTAAATATAAGTAGGATTTAATTTTATAATCCATTCCTTTATTACAGAGTAGGTAGGAGTTAGCATTTTGATCTAATCCGTCCCTAGTATGCCACCATCCAATACCGGTGCATACAATCCATAACATCCATGTAATTGACATAGAATATAATAATTCATCAATTAAAACCCAGAATAACATCCATGTAATTGATAGAACAGAATTTAATAGTTCATCAACCTCTATGTAATTGACAGAATAGAATTTAATGGTTCATCAATTACAATCCAGAATAAACATAATCAAAATCTGATATGTATATAATCATATAATGTATCCAAAACAAGATTTAAAAATCATGTTATAGTCCGTTAAATTGCTAAAATAAAATTAAGCAATTAAATCCCTTCTATCCGTTAACAGCATGCCAGCTTATTTAAACTTTCATATTGTTAAAATCAAAGCATATAGATTAAGATTATGCATCACGGGATCCTAACATGTCATGAAAAAAAATTTAGAATCCCATTTACCAACCCAAAACAGTCCTAAAATTAAAATAAAAAAAAAAAAAAAAAAAAAAAATCAAAACTGTGCTTTAAAAAAAGTTCCTGTAAGTTACTATGCAAGAGAGCTTACTCTCAAAATGAGAGAGCAAGCTCCCACACAAGGGAGCCGGCTCCCCTACCTTGGGAGCTGGCTCCCCTACCTTAGGAGCCGGCTCTGTGACCTTGAGAACTGGCTCCCTAATTCCATGGAGCCGGCTCTCTTTCTCATAGAGAGCCACGAGCTAAAAATAAAAGGGAGCTGGCTTTTTCCCCTTTGGAGCCGGCTCTGTCCCTGCTTCCTGTCATCATTTTCGTCTTTGATGACGTTAAAGACCCTCTGAAACCATTATTTTAAGTTCCTAGAGGTCCGACTAAGTCCCAAATCATCCAGAAAAATCATATATCTTAGTATGCATCGTTACAAGATTTAAAACAGAAATTGAAACAAGTTATCCAGTAAATTAAATTCAATTAATCAATGCATATATTACAGTTTAAAAGCTGAATTAACATGCATACTTAATTACTTTTAATATCTGTTTAGTTCCTGGAGCCTACCTAGGCATGTACAGAACACAGGTCAAAGGAAAAGAGCAAGAAATAGAACTTGGCTTTGGTTTTAGTTTTGAAATCTTAAACTGTCTTCTCCAACTTTTTTGGCAATCCTTCACTACTCTAACTCCTCTGTTGCCCCTGGTTCAACCCACGAGCAACACCACTTCATTCTCTCCTTGGCTTAGCCTTAGCCTTAGCCAAACCCTAAGTTTCCTTCTCTCTGTTTTCTCTCAGACCTCTCTATTCTATATGTAGGCAACGCTAATTAACCTAATTCCAATTATACTTAGAGAAGGAAAAATAAAATAAAATGAAACTAACTAAGTCGGCAAATTTTAATGAATATAAATAAAACCCTAAAACTTTATATTACATAAAAAGAATAAGACTAATTGAATTATTAACAATTATTAATAATTAACCTAATCCAAGATACATATATACCCATATATACATGTATATCCATCCATGGTCCGTTGATCCAAACCAATTAATCCACACTATCCAAGCCCAACTCCCTAATAAAAAATAAACTTCTAATGCAAACAATTAAATTAAAAACAATCCACAAAAGCATATAAGTTCAAATAACAAATAAAACATTTTAAACATATAATGCAATTCCACATAAGTATAACTAACTTAAAACAAATAATTCAACTAAACAATTAAACACATACCATCAAGTCACATAACAACATAGCCACCTAATCCATTAAAATGCACAAGAAATAAAAATTAAATTTCAATTATATCATTTTGAAAACTAGGGGTATTACACGTTCCATCCAGAAACCGTTACTCCCAAATGACAACCTCTAAGCTATAAAATGACACTTTACCATCCATTCTACTTTCACCTTTCAAGGCGACACTATCTCGAACACCGTGCACACAAGACTCGTGACCTTAGTCACAATAACCCACTACTTGCCACAAGAAAAAAGATGCCTATATGGAAATATCATCCTTACTGACTCTAAAGACTAAGCCGAACACAATCGCCTCAACTAGCGCGCAACTGCATCACCTACCAGACAACACACAACAATCAATTCATAATCCCTAAACCATATTCGGGTCATACCTTAAACCGTCATACTCATCAACATTAAACATCTGACTATAACACCTCTATTACCATTCTTCCTGAAGGACAACTCGTACCTCTCATCTCACCAGACTTTCAAGCCACTACCAAGGGGTTCTTCCTCAAACATCCTTAGAACAACACCATCATAACAAGAAAATAAGCATTACTTTCAATACTTCCCATAACGACCACTCTTTACCATTAGAAAAGATCCTCTATACAACAATGTCATGCCGACAAACCCTCAAAACAAAATGAGTACAAATCTCAAAATGCTTAACACCCAATTGTCTCCTCAATACCATCAACGATGCCATCAATCATTAACGCTTAACCGACAACATCAAACCAGTCTTTCTAAGCGATCTACGCATCCAAACAAGAAAACTTCATACCCTAAGTTCAACATTGTTACTTTTCCTCATTCCTGTTCCTTAAAATATCCTTGGCCCCGACAAAAAAAATCAAATGGGGCTACCAATTAACCTATAAGGTCAACTTCGTCCTAATCACTCCAATCATTAGTCTATCTCTTCGGATCCTTAAACAACAAGCAGCACCTCCCGATACTCCAGACGCAATATGAAATACAACCCCAGTCCATAGCTTCCAAATTCTAAAACATAGTCCATTTGGTACAGAATACCCACCATTTATCACCTTATCTGCAATTGACCAGCACTTCAATAACCCCATACTACCTGCCTTATCGCACAATCCTGTATTACACAGCTAAAACTGACCACAATACCTCACCTCAAGGCTCTCTCGACAACCGTGACAACTTATAACCCCACTCATCCAACGAGCCATACAATCAACTCACGGAGAGTCAATTACCCATACACTCCTGTAGATATCTGAAATAAGAATCACTCATCGACAAACTAGTCTCTAAGACAAACTCTTACAACCCATGAACTGAATCACATCAAATAGCCGATCACCTAATATGGGCATGACTTCAGTCAATGCTTATGTAACCCTGGACCTACAGAGTCCAACAAGTCTCCCCCTCAACAACTATAACCAACACGTTTTCTTAAACCGTACCATAATACTTGAAATACATGTCTATAACCAATAGACTACACTTGTGACTCTAACAACCTCTATCACACGTATCATAAACCAGTTCAAAAAGAACATCTGCACCAAACTGTGGCCCAAGTCACAAACATTATCCCCCTAAGGTCAAACTTTTCTCCCACGAAACCTTCACTCTATATGATTTTGCCTGTCACAAAACTCATGCACTAACACATGAAACTCATACGTCTCACCCTAGACATCGCACTGTGCCATAACAATTATTCGAAGGTCATGTCCCAAGCACTACGCCCTAAAAACAACTAGAAAACTGAACCAACTATGCACTGAATAGTTCGATCCACGAGCTAAAGACCTACGCCATTCGTTCAATAAGAATCATCACCCAACAATCCTAAAGCAACCGAGCTCCTCGCCTACTCAGTTCAAAACCCACACAATCATTCATGCTCAACCGCATACTCCTATACATGTATACATATATATATAATAACCATATCCCATGTCCCATCATTTAGATTTTTTTTTTTTTTTTTAAGCATCCCATCTTTCATTTTTTTTTTTTTTAAAAAAAATAAATAAATAAATAAAATAAAATAAAATTACTTGCATAACCATGCTTAATAACCATCACAATACCATACGAGACATGCTTGCATCTACCTTGCTCACTATTTGCCACATTATCATTTAAAATAAAACTGCACACACACCGTGCCTATCACTTGCCGTTACCACCTAAATCACACTTGTCATCATATCATAATTAATATGTTTTCAATTAATTATACATTTCATTGCCATGGCCATATAACACACATTTTAGTAATTAAACATTTAAGCATGTGAATACTTAGTAAATAATCATGCCTTTTAAAACTGTAAATACATAAACAATTAAGCAAGTAAACATGTTTCTCAGGTAACAAACACTTTAACACATAAGTACATAAACAATGCAATCCACCTTCCACACAACCCTAGGTAGGCCTCTACCCGTCGTCCTACTGGTTTTCGAACCATTGTTCTGATACTAAATTTGTAACGACCCATCAGGATACCAAAATAATAATAATAAAATATATAAAATTTCGACACGATATCCACAGAAAAAGTCCCTTTACAATCTGTTGAAACACATGAAAATGCAATGGCCTCAATTGGCCTTAAAACTAATCTATTATGTCCCAACGCATAATACAAATATTATACCAAATTCCTAAAATTATTACATACATATACAAAGTCCCGTTCCTTCATCTCATCCAAATAAGGAACACACTTTAGTGACATTAAGTTATATTCAATAAAATATAGCTAACATTTAAAAGTCCATAATTTACAACATTATACTAATTAAATTAAAGTTTCACAAAATAGTTAAGATTACATTTAAAAAATATTAGAGTTCTAATACAAAAGATATCAAAATAAAATAGGCCTCCAATCTCGTCTAAACTTGGGGTGGATCGTCGTCCGCCACCTCTTTTTCGTACCCTGAAAAATGTTTAAAATAATGAGGTGAGCATAAGCTCAGTAGGAAGCGTCTAAGATACACTTCTTATATCCCCATGAATTCCACACAAAGAATGAGTAAAAAGGAACGGGGTTATACCATGGGAAATACATATTCTCAACCCTAACAACAAGTATGTAGCAAACGTCAACCAATCACAAATTTTCCACAATGTCATGAAGTGCAATATTATGCAAATGTCGCTCCCCATTTCTGAAACATTTCCGTTTCAACTTTCAAACCGTTAGTGTAATCCGACCTAAGGCACCTCCAAGGGGTCACGAATGTAGGGTTGACTAACTATCCATGATCATAAGGCACCTCCAAGGCGTTGTATCCGGCCTAGTTAGTTCAACCATACTTCCTTCTAAACTACACTAACAACACGGACCACTAGGCGCCTTCTAGGCGTCTGGTTTTTCATAAACACTTTTGAAAATATTTTCTCAAAAATAATTTCATTTATTTTAAAACTTTTTTTTTTTTTTTTTCCCTTTTTCTTTCCTAATGGATGCATGAATACTTCATTCTTTATTTCATAAATTCAACCATAAAGTTCCCACATACTTTTACAAATAGATTACTAAAATACACAACTCATACTTTCATTCCACATTTTTCTAGCAATTTAAGCATGCAAATCACAAATTTATTTCACATAAACTTGTTTAAACACAATATAATCAATTAACACCTTGTCACAATTTCATATATGGCATTCAAGAAATTTCCAAGAACTTTCACTAATTAAGCATGTAATTAAACAATCTATAAGAAATAAATTCACAAAAGTACAAGAAGAACTTGAATTATAGACTCCTACCCTGAAAAAAAAAAAAAAAGAATTTTTCTCACTGAATCATCAAGTCTCCAAGCTTTCTGCCTCCTCTGCAACTCTCGTTTCCTCTCTGTCTCTCCTCAATCTCGGCCCTCTTTGTGCACTCTCTTTGTCTTCACTCTAATTTTCTTCTTTTTTTTATTTTTTATTTTTTTATTTTTTTTTTTTTTATAGGCAAAACCACTAACTCAATAATTGTTCACCACACAAAATATCAAAGACCATAATCAATTAGTGGACCCCACCACCCGTGTTTTGTTCTTTTTTTCTTATTCCTTATCTTCATGCCATCAATTCGGCAAGCCCGCCTGCCATCTCTTTTCAACAAATACAACATAGATACAATAACCAAATCAATTTATCCAAATAGCCCACGTGAAGCCAAAGACTTTTGGCAACAAATGAGACCCACGAAATCATTACAATTTTTTCTTCTTTCCTTTTCATTTTAGCCTTGCTTCCTTGTCCCATTAGATACAAATTATATATATATATATATATAAAAAGATGCAACAAAAACCAAATCTCTTTCTCAAGTGGGACCTGTAGTAATATTTCTATTTCATTTTTTTTTTCCTCCTTCCACTTTCGTCCGCTGTATGGTGGGTTTTGTTCCTTTTCAATTTGATTTTCGTCCTTCATTTGTTTATTTGTAAATAGTAGCCAATTTGTAATTTCTTTTTTATGTAAATAATCTGATTTTATTTCTTCTATGATCTGAATTTAAATTGATCCATTAATATTCAATTTTGGTTTTTATTACAGTGGGATCTCTACTGATTTTCTCTGTTTTTATCCTTGGTAAAAATCTTCTATTTTAATTGATTATTTTTGAAAAAAAAAAAAAAAAAAAACTTACTATGATCTTGTAACTTCAGTATGTTCTTCCAAAAACTCTGGATGGGGTAGCAATTGAAAATTTGATCCTAGGCCTCTGAGACGTTCTTATGTAATTCAATTTATTTTTTATGTGGAGGTTGGATAAAAGAAAAGAAAGAAGTCTCTCTCATAATCTTTCATGCTTGAGCTTTTCCTTTTTGTTTTATTTTATTTTATTTTAACAATTTGTTAGTTTAATCATTCTGTATTTTTTAAATTTCTAACATTTCCAATTTTTATTTTTATTTTTAGAAGACACATTATGGAATTAAATTTATGGATTTTTTTTTTCTTATATAAATTTATGGAATTTTAACTACTTCCAGCTTCAATTAATGAAATAAGTGTTGGTGTTGGTGTGTATGAATGTGTGTGTATATATATATCCAGGCTTGAATCTTCTAAATTAAATATTCTCTAAGTTATTCTAAATTGAATTCGCTACAAATTGACACATAATTTTTAAAATCACGTCAACTAATTTAAAGAAAGTTTGAAAACTGCACTCTTCTGAGCTAAAGAAAATTTATCAAAATTTAAAAACTACATCTCTCTCCTTTTGATCATTCCATTGGGAAATATTTCGCGGCAAAAATGAATGTTATTCGTCATGGAGTTAGGAAAATACAACCAAAAGCCCTATATATAGAACCCATATATAGAAAAGATGAGAGAGAACATTGCTCATGTTAAAAGAGAAACAGAGACCATGCAGACTTTTTTGGAATAAAGAGGAGAGAAACGAAGTTAAAACGTCGTTAAAGTATCAATAATTTTTCTTAATTTAAAATGGTGCAATTTTTAATTTTTGGGAAATTTTCTTTATTTCAAAACAATTTTTAAACTTTTTTTAAATTAGTTGATGGGCTTTAACACTAACAGAAGATATATTTTAAATATGATGTGTCAATTTTTAACGAATTCAACTCAGAATAATTTAGAGAATATTTAATTTAGAGGATCCAAGTCCAGTCCTATATGCATATATAACATTGTGATAAAAAATTCAGAAAAAAATATACAGATATATATAGTAATTAATGATCAAATTTTGTTAAAAATAGTAATCTGCATATAAATATTTTTTGTTTTTAAAACTTTTGAAAATTATTTTTAAAAAAATGAACCAACATATCCTAAATGATTGCTTTAAGTTTCACCATGTTCGAGAACCTGATTAAAGGGGTGATGGAAGTTATAATCAACCATTGTAACCAAATCCCAGGGACTCGAATTCTTTCCACTGACGTTGGTTCTATTATTTTATGTTTATGAGAATATAATATATTAAATTTATATATGTCAACACTGTAGCATGCATGCACATTCATGAGTGGCTTTTGAGTTTCTATCTTCCCCTTAGGTCCATCAATCTGACAACTAAGTTCGATGTACCATGGTTGATAAATTGACCAATTCCAAATCTCAATTTTATTCGCTGGTTTAATAAAATCTTGACCAACCCCAATGACTTAATTGCAACATTTTGTTCATAAATAGAAACAAGAAGTTTAGCGGGGTGGAGGAAAACTAATAATAATGGATATATAAAGTTTAAAAACTTTAAAAATTATAGTATATTTTTTCTTCACATTAGATATCCTAATTATATTTTTGTTTCTAAATCAAAAACATTTTAATTTATTAAGTGCATTTAAAAATATAACTAGTCAATTTTTATATAAATATGTGCAGAATGGGGTTGTTTGAGTTCACAAACTAAAAGAAAATTTATAGAAGAGAAATATGATAATATATTGATAAAAAATTAAATATTTGTTGGCACCAAAACTTGGTAGCCATCTCAGCGATGACGTGGACTAATAAGGAGCGAATAGGTATTTTCAATATGATGTCATAAGAATCAGCAATTTAGAAATATCAGGGGCAGAAAAGGAAATGACCCGTATAATTATATGGGATATATTAATTGGCTGCCATGCTTATAAGGAAATTGCTAAATTTTAACAACTAATAGTTGACTATTTCAATTCGTACTACTGACATGAAGAAGGGCTAGAGTTTGGTTGAAAGACAACAACTAAATTCCTATTTTATAGGAAATTTAGTTGTGATATAAAAAGGAAGCTCCAACATAACATCTGGAAATTGAAATATGTTACTAGTGTTGACTCACTTTGATTTTGAAGAGAGAGAAAATCAAGAAAGGAGAGATTTTATAGCAAGAAGTTAGGAATATAAGTTGAGAAAGAATTCTATAAATAAAAAAGTTGTAATCCTATTCCAATTGGTCCAGCTCTACCCACAAAATATGAATTTTTTATTCAATTGACTCTATGTCATTTATTAATTTCTTTATTTCTTTTGTTCAAATGGCAATTTTCATTAAGAATTTAAGTTCCAGTAGCATATTCTTCTTTTGACATGCTTTAATTATGCTATTTACATTATCAGTCATTTCTTTCGGGCAAACGGATTCAATGGCCAATCTTTGATCAAATTTGCGTCATTTTAATTCGGCGCGTTTATTTCGCTTCATTACTTTCTATACAATTTCCATTTAGCTAGTTCTTTTAAAGTCAATTTCAATTCAGCCGTCTTTCTTTTAAAGTCAATTTATATTTAGCCCTTTTCATTCAAATTTTCTTCAGTCATTGCATTTTTATTTCTTTTGACACTAAGATAAACTCCTTACATCAAGGTATAAAAAGAATCTTATTGGGAGTTCTTACTATTCTCTCTCTCACACATTCGCTTGAAGGTCAACTACGAAAAAAGGGATAGGCTATTGTTCAATTCATAAATTTTGAGTGTTTTATACAAATACTCTGGCACGCTTGTAAAAAGTCCAACGAACGGCGTAAGAACAAAAACCGTGCGAACAATATTATACTCTCCCATTACATGAATATTTATAATAGAGAAACCCTAATACCTTAAAGGAAACTAATTGCTCATGTAAACTAAAAATATAAAGAAACTAATGATTGAAGGAAATTAAAAACCTAAAAATAAAAATAAAACCTAATAAAACTCTCACATCAACTGCATTAGAAATACTTTTCTTTCCGGCTAAAAATAATTCACGGAAGGAAACAACATGAACTAGTCTCTCTTATAAATTTTGGAAATTTAGTTTACAAATTATGCCCAAATATATAATTTTTAGGAAATCACTGTCATTAGAGGTGATTGAGACTTTGATTGACTTTGATTGCCTTATGGTAACGATAAAAAGTATAGGTAAGCTCTTCGAAATTTCAAAGGAAATTTTGCAATGTGAATACGCCATGAAATTTTCTCCTTCAAACTATTAGAGTCTTCACTTTTGTCACTATCAATCAATCTCTCACCACCGTCCACCAGAATACACGCTAGCTAGCTCTTAAAAGACCGCTTCCACTTTAATATATAACAACTTCAAATTTCTGTGTATTTTTTCTTTCTCACTGTACGTGTTTTATTAATTAATTATGATGTTTTCTGTTTACACGTACAGTTTCTGTAATACATTTGTTATTGTTACCATTCTTTGGTTGCTCATTCCCAATACTATTACTAAAGTTGCCCCAACCTATGCCCATTCATGTTTTGATACAACAATTACATACACTCCCAATACCACTTTTGAATCTAATCTCAATCTCCTCTTCTCCACTCTTTCTTCCAATGCTACCAACAATATTAACGGATTTTACAACGCAACAGCCGGTCTTGATGCCCCTGACGTGGCTTATGGACTCTTTCTTTGTCGTGGTGATATCGCGGGTACAAATGAGTGTCAAGATTGTGTGGCTCTTGCAGGGACAGAAATAGTGAAACTTTGCCCTAACCAGAAAAGGGCATTTATTTGGTTAGATAAATGCATGTTACATTATGCCAACCACTCTTTTTTCTCCACCAGTGTGGAATCACCGGTAATCATACTGTATAATGTGCAAAATATCACAGAACAAGACCGATTTGAGCAATTGCTGGGAGAAACTATGGATGTTTTAGCGACTCGGGCTTCAAATGATGAGTCTGGAAACGTTACCAGGTTTGCAACTCAAGAAGTCAACTTCACAGCTTTTCAGAAGCTATATAGCCTAACGCAGTGCACACAAGATTTATCCCAGATTGATTGTGATAGATGCCTTCGAATAGGCATCAGTAACAGACCAACTGACTTGGTTGGAAAGCAAGGGGCGGCCATTTTTATTCCCAGTTGTTATATTAGGTACGAGGTGTACCCATTTTTCAATTCCACAGCCACCGACCCACCACGGCCAACATCTCCTCCGCCTCCACCTCCACCTCCACCTCTACCTCCTCCAAACCCTTTAGCAAGTCCTAAAGGTAAAATTTCAAAGCATAGTAAGTGTTTGTACGTTTCTAGACCATCTAATTGTGAGTTCATTTAGTAGATTTAAGTATATTCAAAATAAGCTGATTTTGATGGTTTAAGCTTGTTAACTATGATCAAAAGTTTTGGACTGTGATTAACTTCTGAGGATGTAAATAAATTTTTTGTTTATGCAGGGGAAAGGATAATTTCGGTCAAAACAACAATTATCGCCGTTGTTGCTTCAATAGTTGTGTCAGCGGTACTTCTCTCAGTAGGCTTGTGCTTCCTAGTTAGGAGAGGCAGAAAACGGTATTATACTATAGAAAAAGAAAACGGTAAGGAAACGAATTAACAATTTCATTCTGAATCAAATAATAATAGTGATGTAATTAAGTAATTCAACACTTCAAATTCTTTGGCTGTGTAGTTGGGAGTGATATTACAATTGTAGAATCCTTGAAATTTGATTTGGGTACGATTGAAGCAGCCACAAACAACTTCTCCATTGATAACAAGATAGGTCAAGGCGGGTTTGGTCAGGTCTACAAGGTAAAAAGTTCTTTTGAGGACATCTTGAAATTAAGTCATAAAAGCTTGACAAAAATTCTATTTATTAACTAATTTTTGCAAATTTACAGGGTAGTCTCCGTGATGGACAAGATATAGCTGTGAAGAGGCTATCCAAGACCTCTGCACAAGGCGCTACAGAATTTAAGAACGAGGTTGTTGTGGTAGCCAAGCTTCAACATAGAAATCTTGCCAGACTATTGGGATTTTGCCTCACTGAAGAGGAGAAGATACTCATTTATGAATATATTTGTAACAAAAGTCTTGACTATTTTCTGTTCGGTTAGACCCCTTGCACATTTGTTTTAAATTATCTTTTTATCTATTGAGTTTAATAACATGTGTATGTTTGCCATGGTTTAATATTGCATTTACTAATAGCACAAATATTTATTTATTTATTTTGAGTTTATTTACTTGAATAATTCTAAATCTGATTATTCAAATTTGAGTTGACTATCTATTATTATGAATGTAGATCCGGAAAAACAAAGACAGTTGGATTGGTCAAGACGCTACAATATTATAGAAGGTATAGCCAGAGGGATGCTTTATCTTCATGAAGATTCCCAGCTAAGAATAATTCATCGTGATCTCAAAGCTAGCAATATTTTGTTAGACGGGGAGATGAACCCTAAAATTTCAGATTTTGGCATGGCAAAGATTTTTGGTGTGGATCAATCTCAAGGAAATACAAGAAGAATAGCTGGGACATTGTAAGTTTTCAATTTCTCTATTGTCTTCTTTCTAAAAATTTCAATACAATATATAACTATGTGTGTAGAATTATTGGCTCTAAGAACCACTGTTACTAATTTAAAATAACATGCACAAACTAACTGGAATTTCAAGGACCTTTTGTTGTTTTTTAATTTGTGTGTGCATAGATATTTGCCCTCGACCAACTGATTGTTCTTCCTTGTAGTGGTTACATGCCTCCAGAGTACGTAATGCATGGAAAGTTTTCTGTGAAATCAGATGTGTTTAGTTTTGGTGTTTTAGTTCTAGAGATTATAAGTGGCAGGAAGAATGGTTATTTCCATCAATCAAGCTCTGGTGAGAGCCTTCCAAGTTATGTGAGTGCAAACATAATATTGCAATTTTTTTTTTTTTTTTTTTTTCCCCTTTATCATTGTCAGTATCATCATATCCACGTTGAAGAACAAAAAAAAAAATGACAATACCAAAACTCTGAACACCACTGCACATATTATTGCAGGCTTGGAAACAATGGAGAAATGGGACCCCATTGGAATTGATGGATTCAACATTGAAGAACTCTTATTCAAGTAATGAAGTGGTCCGATGCATCCATATAGGCTTGTTGTGTGTTCAAGAAGATATGGTGGCGAGGCCCTCTATGGCATCTGTAAGTGTCATGCTCAACAGTCTTTCTGTTAGTCTACCATTGCCTCGAAAACCTGCATTCTTTGTTCATAGCAGAACAGAGTACTTGAGCTCGCCAAATGGATTTAAGTCGAATCAACGTACAAGCAAGTCAAAGGAGTCGTCTCGAAATGAAGCATCTATTACTGAACTTTACCCTAGATAGAATGACAAGTTTAAGATGTAAAATGAAGTGAGCTGTTAATCGCACAGGATATGAATGTATTCACATAATATGAATTTATTGGCTTTTTTTTATTTTTTTTTTATTTTTTTAATATTTCTAAACTCTGAAATTGATCCCAATATATTTTTTTCATGAATTTTTACCATTTGTCCAACATAATATTATACTACAATTTAAAATTTTATCCGTTATGATATTGCCAATAAAAAGCCTAGTCTATTTTCTAGTGTTTATGCCTGACTAAGTCAATTGAAATGATGGATTAGGTATGTTGAATTCAAATTTTCACTTCTCTCCGTCACTAATATTAAGTGTATTTGTCACCACCCGAATCCAAAAATCTGAATCGCAAACCGGGTCCTTACCCGAACCTGAAGTCCCACAAAAATAAAATGATCATATCAAGTCAAATATGGAGGATGAAATGACCGTAAATGAGCCAAATGGAGTTCATTCTAATCATATTAACGAACAAAACCATTCCATAAGGTTCCCGTGGCTATAGTCGTGGCTTCCCACAAATAGGCTAAAATGGCCATAACTCTCTATGATTGGATTTTTGGAGTGAGGTTGGTATCATTGGAAATCTTACTTCAAGTTGGTCAGTTTGGACTAGAAAATAACATAATTTTGGTTAACAATGAATGAGTTATGACTATTTCAAGTTTAGAGGCAATTTTTTAAAAATTGAAGAAATGGGGGATTGATCGCCCACCCCCTGGAAGAACCCTCATTCTGTTTTGGAGTGGGGATCGATCCCCCACTAATTTTTCTTGAAAAAAAGTGTGGTTGGACCCCCTCATGGCCCTGTTACAAATGGTCCAAGTCCCATTGTCATCAATTAGTATCGAAATCATCCAAATCTTGTTCCAAAACACCTATATACATAGAAACATGGATAAAATAGCATCTATGCATTACAAAGGATCAATTTACATCATTAATGTATCAAAATAGCTTCATGTTACATCATTAAATGGCTCACAAGTTCCATGAAGGAATGGAGATCATGATGAGACCTCAAAAGGTGAAGCTTAAGTCTTGTGACGACTCTGGTTTTTAGGCCAGCATGTCCTGTGATGAACCGTAAGGATGAACCGTAAGGATGATCCGATAACGGATCCGAATGCAGAAGCAAAAATAGAAAACAAGACTCTAAGAAGTCAAAGTGACCTTTCATGAGGTCGTGGAACTCAACAAGAACTGATGCGGAAGCAAAAGATCGAAAATATGACAAATAAGTCCCCAAGAGCAAAATAGTCATTTTTGAAAACTGTAGATTCGGGTGTTACCGAGCACACCGCTGGAAGGACAACGAAAAACTAATTAAGATGGACTCAAGAATCGCATGATTCGGAGTTCGGACGAAGGAGAAACAGCATGGCGAAGAAAAACGAGCACTTAAGGCAAAAAGGGTAAACTGGTAATTATCCAGAAAGAACCGGGTGCACCGAGCACACCGTTGGAAAGACAGCGAAAAATTAGTCAAGTTAAAAAAAAAAATTCACTTGAATCGGAGTCCGGATGAAGGAGAAAAGCCCAAAAGAAGAATTAACATCGCGGCGGCCCGACGAGGGGCCATGACAGCCCCATGCGCACGCCCATGCACGCCGCGTGCGCGCTGGGTGCACACATGGCTGGCAACAGCAGCCCATAAAGCTGTTGTGGGGTTATTTTTCAGAAAAATCCAGAACAGAGGCTGAATTTGGAGGCTTAGATGAATTTTTTTACAAAAACATGAAGAAGAAACCCCCCTCAAAATTGAGTTTTCTACGTGACTTGAGAGAGAATTAAAAAAAAATGTAATGTAAAGTGCCCAAAATTCCCTCTCAAGAAATCTGGTTCGGAGGGTCGAAAAAAGCTACTAAATAGAAAACTGAAAGCTGAACTTCGTAAGCAATTTCCGATATCAAGACGACATTTTCTGGAAAAACACGGAAAAGAAACCCCCCCTAAAATCATGTTTTTTATTCAACCATATTGAAAGAAGAAAATAAAACTACCGTGAAAAGTCTACAATGCCCCTAGATCAGAATATGCAAAAAAAGTGCGAAATGAATCCACAAGAGGCTTAAAACACAAACGATAAGGTTTTGCCTGGAAACGACCATGCACGCAAACGTAACTTACCTATTTGGACATGCTACAATGGTCCACGACTTAAAAACATAGCCGATACAAAATCCGACCCCCCAACGGGCAAAAAGGCAAAAATGGACTTGGAATGGAAAACATGGAATCCAAAAATATAAAACGAGATCAAATGACCGTTTGGCCGTTGGCCACACTTCATACAAGATTAATAAGACCCTATAAAAGAATGAAAATGGAATTCCCACACCCGATGCAACCATGGTGAAGCAATGACTTGCGATTTTTCAAGATTTTCACAATATTTCATGAAGTTAAAAAGTACATAAAACACAATATACATGTCATTGGTCTCCGGCCTCATCTCATACATATCAATTACATTGAAAGAAGTGTACTTAAGTATACATTGCATACATGAAATCAAATATACATATTTTGACATATAAGTCTACAAAATGACATTTCATGCTAACATTTACATGAAATGGAAACTTGAAAGATACACGACATCCAAGGAATGCTAGGCTTCATGAACCAAGTCTTTGTACCTGAAATATGCCCCAGTATCGTAGGGGTGAGTAACATAAAGCTACTCGTAGGAGATGAGCATGCATCAACCTAACATTTTACAAATTTATCACCTTAAGGTGAAACATGTTAAAGAGGGTCATGCTACCTAACGTTAATGTCCAAGTGAGACTCGGGGAGCATCCTAAGCTACCTTAGAGTCTAAGCAACAAGAATCATGATATACATACGTGTATGAAACGAATCATGGTTGGGATAATCCAAAGAATATGACAAGAAGAATGCTTGAGCATAGATTAACATGAATTGCATTTTCAATACAATTGAACTAGGTCTAGAGTAATCTATACAACATGACAAAAGTATATCTGAATACAAGTTAACAATAATCACATTATCCATGCAAGTCAACAACAAAAGAGCATGTTATACAATGCAACAAGGTTTAAGTTCTCAAAGCCATCAACTTAGAATCTAAAGCACAAAATAATAGTAGTGGTTCATGCCACCTAACATCTATGTTATAAATGAATCAATAGGATCAATCCTAAGCTTTATTAGAACGTCAAAACACGATTTTCAATATCGATGCAATTTAACCAACATTGGAACTTCCAATACAACGCATAAAGCACAATTTCGCAAAGTTAACATCCTATAGCTTAAAATGGAACGACAAATAAGAAACAACAAGTTACAACATCATCTAGTTATCAACTTGAAAATGAAATGCGAAATCAAATAAAGTGGATACTCGGACGTCACGCCCGATCAGACCGACAACATAGTTACTTTAGGGTTACTAGCCCATGGGTAACCTCCCTATGTGCGCACTAGACTATATAGAGGGACTATCCCCCGTACTAGAACCACGTCCTAGCCATAGTCAAACAACGACATCTCCAAGTTTTCAAAATCAACAAGTTGTGCAACAACGCATATATCAACAGGAATATACAAGATAATCAACTATCTACTAAGCACAACCAAATTTGGAAACCTATACAATACATGCTCTAAGTCCACAACTAATATGATGTGATGAATGTCGAATCTTCAATGTGCGATTCGTTACACGCTATGCCTGAATAATGTTAAATACGAAATGTATAAATCATTACATAAGGCAACAATATATTCAATAAGGAAAACATATTCTCATGAGTATAAACATAGCAACTATGTTATCCAATGCTCAAAACATAACCAAATGAATATACAACAAGTCTATGTCCAGGATTTTGATATAGAAACGACTTTCAAACACAATTAAATCCATGGCTCAATTCGATAGAATTTAATTAAATAAAAATAATTACATTTCCTAGATTCTAATTCAATTCCAAATAACCTCAAATTAATACATATTAAAGAACATGGCATGGTCATCACCTATATCCATTCTAAAACTCAATTAGGTTATTGGAACAACAAAGTAGAACTCTAATTAAATCATGCTAATTTAATTACCAAGGTTCTAAAGCAACTTCAAATGGTCCACAATTAATATATACTAGTAAACAAATCATGGCCAATACAAATATCAAGTTAAAATCTTAATTAAGCTAATAGGACCACAAAATATATTTTAATTAATTCTTTTAATTAAAATCTCTAGATTTTCAAACTTAATCAAATGCTCTCAATTTAACATATCTTAGAGAACATGCCAAGGACTAATGTAATATCACATTACAAGCTTATTTCATGTAAGTTACACCTATGTAAATTAAAATTTCACTAAAGTTAAATATAAAATAAAGGTTGCAATTCTCATGCAATTAATCCCAAATTAATATATGTGAACAACCACACCAAAGCTTAATTTTATATCATGCCACAATTCAATTCCAAGTTGTATATCACCATGACGATTAAATCTTAAACAAGGAAGAAGCTATATGGCATGTAGATTAAGAATATCAAGTCAGAATTCAAATGGAGTGAATAGTGCACTCGGGGCAAATTAATTAATAATTACTAATTTTCAAAACACCTCCAATTACTTTCAAATTCAACTATGTTGAAGAGCATGCTAAGGCCTAATATAATATGCTAACACATATTAATTTCAAGCTAGTTAAGGCCATGTGAATTAATCTTTCACCTAAGATAAATATTAAATACAATCTTTAATACTTATTCAAATGTTCCAATTTTAATAAACGACAATGAGCATATTAAGGGGCAATATAAAATTGTGCTACATGTTTAAACCAAGTCATGAGCAACTGGGAAAATTAAATCCCGTACAAGAAAAATAAATACTAAAATTTCTAGATTTTCTATTTAATCATGCAAAAAAGTAGTATAAGTATCACAGGCATGCTATATAACAAGAATTTAAACCTAGAAAATCTCCTACCTCAATTTGAGATGAAAATCCCAAAGGCCCACCAAAATAAAAGTGCTCCGAATTCGACGATACCGAGAGGTTTTGTCGGGGACAACACCGTGAACAAGAATTTGCAAGAAGCCCCATGAAAATCATAACTTGACCTCAAAACCAAACTCAAGAAATGGTCAAAACTGAATTCTAATAAGGGGGAAAGGTAGAGCACGGTGAGGGGAACAACAAACGTTAAGGCCGAAGACTTTCCATCAAGGAAAAGTGAACCAAAAGAGGAGAGAGAAGATGGCAGCACCCCTTGGGCTGCCATGGGAGCTCCAGGTTGTGCATGAAGTGGGGAGAAGATGAAAAATGAAATATCTCACCCCCCCCTTTTATAGAAATCTCAAAAAGTGCCCCGA